AATCTTCCCCTACCCAACCAGCCCCTGCCCTTTCCTAGGGCCCAGACTTTCTGGCCCTAGGCCTGTTGCCACCTCTTCCACAGCAGTTTCACTTAGCCAGGACAGTGACAGGGAAAAGAACCTTTGTGGCCTTGGGTCTCAGTAGGTCTGGTGTAGATCACCCCATGGAAGAGGCTGCTATTGTGAGCCGTGCAAAACCCTCACTTCCTCTGTTGTAGCGCATGTTCCCAACCACAAGCACCCAAGCAGAGGGACAGGCAGCACGCAGCCCCAGCTGCCAGAGCACCAGCCCAGCAATGGACCCTGAGGTAAGTGCTGCTGCCTAGCCCAGCCAGGCCACAGCTCTGAGGGTGAACCCAGAACACCAGGGAAACTTCAAGGCTGACCCACAATCCAGGGCTTCCAAACGGCTGGGTGAGTAGGCAGAAGCTGCAGATCTTCGGGTGGAAGAAGCACTGGTTGGGGAATTGGGAAGCCAGCTTGGCCACTGACTTGCTGTATGACTATGGACATGTCTCCTCTCCTCTCTGGCTTTGGTAACTCGGCTGCAAACATGCAGAGGGTAGAGGCTCAACCTCGATGACCTGTAAGGTTCCCTTCAGCTTTGACTTTGAACTTTGACTCTTATATGCTGGATAGAATTGGCACTGGGGAAGCCTGCATCTCTGGGATAGATGAGGAGGTAGGTAATATTCTAGTGGAACTATTCTATTTCCACTAGAGCTGGGTGGGAGAGCCCTCAGTGGGCAAGCCTCGGTGTGGGGGACAGGAAAGGACTGGGGCAGAAATTGTGTTTGGGAGCTGTGGTGATTTGTACAGAAGCCCCCATGGCGACAGGAATTTGGTGTCCCCAGACAAGGGCTGAGGAGGGGACTGTGGGGAAGCACCTGGGTGACTGAACTAGGCATGGCCAGGGCACTGAGAGCAGCAAGCAGTGAGGGAAGAGTAAGAACAGAGGAGAGAGTATAGGGAGAGTTCTTGGCACAGGAGAATCCCTCGGCCAACGGATGGCCCAGAAAGGTGAGAGAGAAGTTGCTTTTAAGAAGGGAAGTTTACATCACAGAGCCCACGTGGGGCAGATGGGGTTCATATGGAAGAAAAGGGTTGACAGTTACAGGGCCTGCCTTACAGAGAAGATACCCTCAAAAACCACTCATCAGACTAAATAGCGGAGGAGTGATTGCAAAGGCGCTTACACAGTCCCTCCCTCCCTCCACAGATGAGCAAACACCAAGTGCTAGATGCCTCTGATTTTGCCTTCCTGGAAAACTATACCTCTTCCTATGACTATGAAGAAAACGAGACCGACTCCTGCTGTGCCTCCCCACCCTGCCCACAGGATTTCAGCCTGAACTTTGACCGGGCCTTCCTGCCAGCCCTCTATGGGCTCCTCTTTCTGCTGGGGCTGCTGGGCAATGGTGCAGTGGCAGCCGTGCTGCTGAGCCAACGGGCGGCCCTGAGCAGCACCGACACCTTCCTGTTTCACTTGGCCGTGGCTGACGCACTGCTGGTGCTGACCCTCCCGCTCTGGGCAGTGGATGCTGCTGTCCAGTGGGTCTTCGGCTCTGGCCTCTGCAAAGTGGCAGGTGCTCTCTTCAACATCAACTTCTATGCAGGGGCCCTCCTGTTGGCCTGTATCAGCTTTGACCGTTACCTGAGCATAGTGCATGCCACCCAGCTCTACCGCCGGGGCCCCCCAGGCCGCGTGGCCCTCACCTGTGTAGTGGTCTGGGGGCTCTGTCTGCTCTTTGCCCTCCCAGAACTGATCTTCCTGTCAGCCCACCATGACGAGCGCCTCAATGCCACCCACTGCCAGTACAACTTCCCTCAGGTGGGCCGCACAGCTCTGCGAATGCTGCAGCTGGTTGCTGGTTTTCTGCTGCCCCTGCTGGTCATGGCCTACTGCTATGCCCGCATCCTGGCTGTGCTGCTGGTCTCCAGGGGCCAACGGCGGCTGCGAGCCATGCGGCTGGTGGTGATGGTAGTGGTGGCCTTTGCCCTCTGCTGGACGCCCTACCACCTAGTGGTGCTGGTGGACACCCTCATGGACCTGGGGGCCTTAGCCCGCAACTGTGGGCAAGAAAGTCGTGTTGACGTGGCCAAGTCAGTCACCTCAGGCCTGGGCTATATGCACTGCTGCCTCAACCCGCTGTTGTACGCCTTTGTGGGTGTCAAGTTCCGAGAACGTATGTGGATACTGCTTATGCGCCTGGGTTGCCCTGGCCAGAGATGGCACCAGCGGCAGCCTTCTTCCTACCGGGATTCATCCTGGTCAGAGACCACAGAGGCCTCCTATTCAGGCTTATGAGGCTAGAAATGGGGGCTCCCCTTTCACTCACCCAGCCTGACCCCACCCATACTCCAGGCTTCTCCCCGCCTTCTCTGCTGGGCTGTCTCTGGCTCTCCCCATAGCTTTGCCTCCTAGGCACAGTACTCTGGGGCTCGTTGGCAGCCCCAGCACTGTCAGGTCTCCCACTTCTGAGGTCCTGGCACCCTCACTCCTACTGCTTCAGAGGTGGCTGCCTTCCAGCCCAGCTACCTTGGCTGCCTGGAACCCTGTTGCCCTTCTAATTCAGTAACTATAACTTGGCCTTCCCCACATGCAAACAACACAGAGGAACGGGCCCCTGTGGGGCCTTCGTCCAGACCTCCTGCTTATTAGTAATTGTGACTATGATTCCCAGCCCCTCTGTATTTGTTCACTTTTATTTTATGTCTAAAATCTTGCTTAAAACTTTTCAATAAACAAGCTCATCAGGACCAGGGTGTGTGAGTACATCAATCCAGTCAGCCCTACCTGGGCTCTGAGGATACACTTGCTGCTTCTTCCCACCTGGCCCTGGGTCTGGGCCAACGCACCCTGTCTCTGTGAACGCCTGTCTGCAGTCTTCTTGGCCCTCCTGGTAGTCACAGGGAAGCACCCAGACACACTGGCACAGGGTAAGCACTCGGCTAGTTGGTTGGCTGGACACTGTCTAGGCATAATTTGGGAAAGGGGCCTTCAGCCATAAATAAGATGTAGTCTTGTGCTCCAGAAGGGAGAAGCAGAGGGCTAGCAGGGAAGAAACAGCAAGAACTAACAATATCAGGCAATACCTATGCCATGAGGCAAGTAAGTGACATATAGACAGTAAACATGAAGGCTCAGAGCATGGGGGCTGAGCCATTTGGGAAGTTATCCTGAAGACAGAGAACTTAACAGGCCTAAAAGGGCAGGCGGTATTTCCAAAGGTAGACAGAAAGAAAGACAGTGTTTCCAGCAGAGGGAAGGCTGAAAACAGCAATGCTTACTGGAGGAATTATAAATGGTCCCAAGTGGTTAGAGTCAAGAGTTCGGGTAGGAAAAGGGCGGAAAGACTCAAAGTTGGTTTGGGATCAGCTGATGGAGTCATTGAGACCAGTTCGAAAGCTGTAGTGGTTATTCAGGTGAGAGGTGATGCAGGCCCTTACTAGGGAAAGGTCAGTGGGATTGAAGAAAAGCCAGAAGATTAGATGCTTTACCAAAAGTAACAAGCACATGGGCCACCTGGAAGCATGGGTGGGCTGTAGGGAGCACGTTTCCATGACAACAGCTGACATTGTATGAAGTGGAAGAAATAACCAGGGCTTCCCATTAGGGCAGGTGACAGGGCTACTGATCTCTCTTTGCAGAGGCAGATCCACTGCACTGGTTCACCCTACTGAAGTCACTGATGTGCCATGGTCCAGTTTCACATGCTGGCCGGGCCCTTGCTGAGGCTGCAGATAGGCTGGAGGTGGGAATGGGGTGGAGGAATTAGAAGATTTAGCTAGGGAAGCCTGTGTTAGGCTTCAGTTTGTGGCCATTAAAAGAACACTCTAAGCATCTACAAAATGAAGGAAGGAAACGACGGCATAACACATTCAACAAACAGTATAAACTGCCGTAAGAATTATCAGCAGTGCTGGACTAGTAAAGATATTTGTGCTAGGCAGAATAAATGGCCCCTCAAAGATGTCCACATCCTAATCCCTAGAACTTGTGAATATGTTACCTTACATGGCAAAAGGGAATTAAGGTTGCTAATCATCTGGCCTTAAAATAGACTTACAATTCCTCAAATAAATAAGATTATCCCCAACCAACGTCACAAAACAATTTGCATATAAATTTTTGAACAATAAACTAATTTGTGCTATAAACTTTTACCTAAAACACAATTAAAAAAAAGATGATCCTGGATTATCCAGGTGGGTCCAATGTAATCACAAAGGTGGTTAAAAGTGAAAGCAGGAGGCAGGAGAGAAGATAAAGTCAGAGACAGAGATGTGACAACGGAAGCAGGGTCAGAGAGATGCTACCTTGCTGGCTTGGAAGAGGGAGGGAGGGGCCATGAGCCAAGGAAAGCAGGTGGCCTCTATTGGCCGGAAAAGAAAAGGGATTGGATTCTCCCCTACAGCTTCCAGAAAGGAACACAGCCCTGCTGACACCTTGATTTTAGCCCCATGGGACCCGTAATGGACTTCTGACCTACAGAACTGTAAGATAATAAATTCGTGCCATTTTCAGCCACTAGATTTGTGGAAATTTGTTACAGCAGTAGTAGAAAACTAAACTAAAACCATGTGGATTCCAGTCGACATCCTGGATATCTCCTAGAAGTGGGGAGGCTACTGACAAACTTAGGGGCAGTCAAAAAAATCAGAGAAACAGAATGGAGAGTGCTTCAGACACATCCTGGAACACTTCAGATGTCCAGAGTCTTGGACAAAAGACCCAAAGGTTTGTTCTGCTCTTGGGACAAGGTGTCAGTGAACAAACTCCGCCAACAAGTGAAATGCGGAAAACACTTCATTTTATTTTAGGAACAGTTACACGGCTCAGATGGCTTCATTCAATGTCAACAGCAACTAAATTGATGAAACATGTTTGTCTGTTATTTACAGGTAAGTGTAACAGATTACATCTGAGAGCAGTCCTGGTTTTGTAGGGCTGCCTTTAAAACTTGTTCTATTTCCAGCATTATTCTCATTCTCTCAACCTGCCACTCTAAAAAACTCGTTTTTTGTTTGCATTTTGTTCTACACGTTAAAACTATGGAGTTAAAATTAAGACCCAGGATGGATCCAAAAGGGCCTTAGGGTACTGTCAAGGCCACAAAATGGATCCCCAGTTAAGAACAATCATCGTTAACAATATGAACCCCAAAATAGTATTTAATCTCTAATATTTGCTACTTCACAGAAACTAAGAGTTGTTTTTTTTTTTAAAGCTTCTTAACCAATAGAGGACTCTGCCTGCATAAATCTACTCTCAGATAACCTCAACGATCTCGGTTTTGTTTACTTGCGATATAATCTTTGCTGAGCTTTTTCATCACATCGCCATGACCCTTCCCTGCCATCTCCTGTTTAACAACTCTGTAATTCTCCTGCACATATTTAGCAAATGGTCTCACATGGGGCTCAATAGGGGTTCCATCTTTGCGAGTTAATGGCAGCACAACCAGAGAGCCACTGCATCTAGCACAGATAAAGCGTTTGGTGTTCAATGATCTGGTGTAGCGGCCAACCCTAGGAAGGAAAGAGATCCCACAAAAAAAGAAGTCAGTCATTGTACCTCAACATCATCTCTGAGCTGTTGGCCTTGGGCCCAAAGCAAGAATTTTCTGTGAAACACCAAGCAGTGGCAGTGGTCAGGCAGGCTCAAGTTCAGGGAAATAATGGAGAGAGAGAACATGGATTTAAGGGGCAGAGTGGTTTTACTCCTCAAGTCAGATAGCTATCTAATAAAATCACTGAAGAGCCACTTGGAGGCTGCAGTAATAGCATAATAGGAAAAAGTCCAAGGAGAAGGGTCTTACCTGGATTTGCACTGAGTACATTCATAATGAATCCTGTAGTTAATCTTGTAGTTATGGCAACGGGTGACCCTGGGCAGCTCTGGGTGTACCATATTGGATTTGTTGGCATAATACTTCCATGTGTCACCATGAGAATCTCGGACACCATCGAGTAGCCAGGAGGCTGCATGGCATATTTCATGGATCAAAGTATCCCGGAGTCGGTCTTGTGAAGAAGAATGAAAAGAAACTATGAGTTTAACCAATTCTCTTCTAGTCCGCTACCCAACAACCCCTAGACTCTCAACCCAATCAGACACAAAGCCACCTTACATAAGCATATGCAGAAAGGCATGGGTGTTAGTTCCCAGGATTTTGAAAGTGAAATTTCCATCTACTTCAATCTGATCTCATGAATAGCAGAGAGCCTTAGGTCAGGTACTATATTCAGCAAGTCTTTTCATAGCAGCTCCAATGCGTTCATCTTTTTGTGGGGGCACTGCTAGAAATACAGCCATGTGAAACATGGATTCTGCCCTTTGGGAACTTAAGTGTACTGGATGGGAAGCAATCACAATGGCCATGGGATTTGGTTAGGGCAATGCAGAGGGGAAGTCATGCCTAGTAGAGATTGACAAGTTGGATTTTCAGGGGTGGTGAGACATCCAATAATAATGTCCTACGAGCAACAGACAGTAAGCCTGTCCACACAGGAATAACAGTTAAGGCTGTGACAGTCTGTTAGATAATACCAGCATCAAAGAGCAATTTAACAGACAATGTATCAAAAGGAAAACACACAGCAGTAAAGCCACCCTGCTACTGCTATCACCTGCTGAGTCACAGACTTTTACAGCAATCTCAATCTTGGCATAGCGCTCCTTCTTCGGGTGCTTTGTCTCGCCAGTTGTGCATAAGCCAGCAGTTCTAAGCATCTTTTTATTCCAGCCTATCTCTATTTTCTCTGGCAGCTGAGAACAAAAAGCAAATGGAATAAGTCAGAAAGCAGTTGTAAGCAGATGAGAAAATATTAATTCAAGAGTTTTTCTCTCTCTAATAAAAAAAAATAAGAGGAATTTTTTTCTCCCCCACGTTCTTGGCTTTTTTGATTTTGAGAAGACATCTATTCAAAGGGCACACAAATCTAAACAGTGTGGGGTTGAATAAAAGCCAAGTTGAAGCCCAGTTAAAGACAACCAATAGGCACTCAGGACACAAGGGAGATTTTTGAGACCAAGTGAACGCAGGATTTGTGCTCCCTTACATGGAGACAAAACAGTCTGGAGCAGCCTGCTGAGGTGGGAGACAAGACTATGTGTAAGAATGCTTAGGTAAAACTGAAACTGCAACTCAGAACACTTCAGGTTCTGCTAATCAGTCATCTGATGTAACACCACTACCATCAGGAAGAGCATCAAAGGCTGGAACCATTAGGAACATACAAAAACTTTCCTTGCAGAAAATTTTGTCACCAGAGACAACAGTCTGAAAAACCTAATGACCAAAAAGTCTCACTGACCCGATTCTCTCCAATCCAGGCCATACCCCACGCTACTGTCAGATGAATGTCTTTCAAAGCCACTTCATGTCCCATCAAATCCCTGTGCTACGGTGCCTACTGATTTAAATTTAAGCTCCTCTTACCTGATGTTCTAAGCCCTCCATTATCTAGGCATATGCTATCAAATATAACAATAGCTAACATGTATCACTTACTATGTCCTAGCCACTGGTCTAAGCACTTTATGTCTATTAACTTACTTAGGGCTAACAATAATTCTATGAGGTAGTAGGTACTGTTACTGTTCCCATTTTACAGATGAGAAAATTGAAGCAGAGGTTAAGTAATGAGGTCACAGAGCTCTTTCCCATTATTCTTTAGCATGAATCCTCTTTTCCAAATAGTCAAGCCTTAAGACATGCCCTCTCCCCCATCATTGTTTTCTCCACTGCTCAGTCTTTAAGAACCAGAACAAGTCTCACTTCCTCTTTCAGGCAATCCTCTTTCCTGACTCCTCAGGCTCTCAGTGATTTCTCCCTCTGCTGCTCTCCTGTGGTAATAATGGTTTCTACCTTTCATGTATGCATGTCTTATCTTTCCATCTAAATTGACACTTCTTAAAGGCAGTAAATGCACATAGTTAGCATGTCTGTACCACACAGCACACAACAGTGCTGGGCATATAGCAGGTGCTCAGTACTCATTTATTGATCCTACCTTTTTGTCAAAGACAGAGCTGTTAAAGAGGTTGTAGATTTTCTGAACCAGCTCATCCTTATTTTGCTTGAAATTCTTTCCAGAATACTGTTTTGAGTTCTCAAGATCAAGCAAGAAACATCCAGGTATTTTGCACACAGAATTCCTACAAAGGTAAATTCAACTGAGTTTTATGTAGCTAAAGAAATACATAGAAGAAACGCATACATAAAGAGCATGTCAAAAGAGACTTTAGAAACTTGCTGGTTCTTCTTCCTCTTCCAGCTGCTTATAGGAACCTATGTCCCAAGGATCCATTCATAGCCTTTTTCTCTTCACTCCTTGCACATTCTCATAGATATGGAGTCCATGGTTTCAACCTCAACAGGAATGATCCCCACACGTGTACCTTCAGATTGGTTCTCTCTCCTGAGATCCTATTCTGAACTGACAAGTACCCAATTCAAATTTCCAACTGACTAACATAAGTATAACTCCAGCTCAACATGTTTACCAAACTTCTGTTATGACAGGTTGAAAACCTCATAGGCATTTTTAAAATCTATTTTTCTGGGGACTTCGGAAAGATGGCAGCATAAACAGACCATTGCTGCGACCCTCCCCCACAAATAGAAGAAATACAACAAGGAAATGGTGCTCAGCTTTGAGGGACTCTGAATCAGGGAGCAGAGGAAAGCAGCGGTGAATTGCAGACAGGCAAGAATCAACAAATCAACAACTAGCTGCATACTGTAGGAAAATCGCTTCTACCACCATCCCTGCCCCTTCCCCCAGCCACATGGACCACCAGCTGCTGTGAACTGGGGAAGTGGCCCCAGCAACAGAGACTGCTTCCCTAACCACCACACCCCTGTCTATACAAAGAAACAATCAGCCCAAGTTTCTGCTCTAAAATCAACAAGGTAGGCCTCCCCAGGGGTCCGTTTAGAGTGTGCCAGCATGTTCCCCAACCTGGGCAGTTACCTGCACGCCTACTGCGAATTGCTACAGAAGGCCCCTGCAGTGGAGTCTGCTCCCATAGTCAACACTCTACCTGCCTCCTTGTGCACCCCATAGCTAAGGCCTCTGAAACCAACAGGACAAACCTCCCTGGAGGTCAGATTGGGGTAGTCTGTCCCCACTTCCAGTTGGCGCTGAGGACTGCTGAGGCTGCTGTGTGTGAGGAAGAAGGCATCCTGAGTGAAGGCTGCACTGACAGCCAGCAATCTACCTGGGGCGGGGGCAGGGCTCTGACAGCAACAAGGCAGACCTCTGTGGGGATCTGACCAGAGGGTGACACCCCCTCCCCTATGTGGTAGCTGTTGATTGCCAGGCTGTTGCAAACTGCTACAGAAGTCCCCTGTAGTGGCGTCTGCTCCCACAGTCAGCACTCTACCTGCCTCCCCACGCACCCCATGGCTCAGGCCCCTGAAATCAACAGGACAGACCTCCCTGGGAGTCCATTTGGGTCTGTCTGGTCTCCCTTCCTGTCAGTGCTGAGAACTGCTGACGACTAAGGCTGCTGCATGCCAGGAAGCAGGAATACTGAGTGGAGGCTACTCCCACAGCCAATATACTACCAGGGCATCTCTGATATTAACAAGGCAGATCTCCCTGGAGGTCCATTCAGACTGTGACAACCCTCCCTACCCAGTAACCGTCGGCTGCTGGACTGATACAAACTCCTACAGAAAGTCTCCTACAGTGGAGCCAAGAGGCAGGTCATCTAAGTGGAGACTGCTCCCCTACCACCACAGGGTCACTGGGGCTCTGAAACCAACAAGACAGATTTCTCAGAGTTCCTTCTGAGGAGTGCCAGCCCCTCCTCCTCCTGAAACAGAGGAAAGTCTGCCTGTGCTACTTCTGAATACCAGCTCAGATATAAGCAGCCCTCACAGAGCAGGGAAGGAAGACTTGGGCAAAACTGGAGGGCAACACCCAACCCCAAAGGGGGCTCACTGCGTGTGGGATTTCTAGCTGAAATCTTGCTTCCAGAAACAGAGACGGGAAAGGAGTAATAATCAGAGAGGGAGAGAGATCTACGCCCCCTGGTGAATAGATTGATTAGTGCATGATATCTCACCTGAGCGGCTGTGCCTGCTGGTGCACAGATTGATCACAGCATGTTCTCTCTCTGGTGTGTTTGGGAGACATTAAAAATTGAAAACAGAGATCTGGAACTTTTAAATCCTAATTAAACCAGGGAGGGGGAAGGAACTATCACAGAGAGGGAGAGGAAACAGTAAGCAAAGCCCAAATGTTCTGCCAGCCTAAGAGTTTTTGGCAAAAAGTCGTGCAGGCAAAAACACCAAATACTGGGGAGAACTGCCAAGAACAACAACAAAAAAACCCACAAGACACACAAATAAAAAAGAAATGATGGCCCATCCAAATGAACTTGATGAAGGGAGTGAAAGCACACTTAGAGAAGACCGAATAATGAAAAAAAAAAGAAAAATATAATACAACATAAAACATAATTAAAGACTTAAGGGAAAGTATAGACAAAGAGCTAAAAGAAATAAGGAAAACAATGCAAGAACAAAATGAGGATCTAAAAGAAGAGATAGTGCAACTGGAAGGGATATTAACTGAAATAAGAAACACAATAGAAGGACTTAACAACAGATTTAATCAAGCAGAAGAAAAGAATCGGCAAATTAGAGGACAAGATAGTCAAAATTACAGAGCCTGAAGAGCAACAAGAACAGAGGCTCAAGAAGGCTGAGCACAGTTTAATGGAATTATGGGATAACAAGAGACCTAATATACACATCGTGGGAATTCCAGAAGGAAATGAGAGAATGAGACAGAAAGAATATTTAAAGAAATAATGAAAGAAAATTTCCTCAATCTGAGAAAGGACACAAATCTACAATTTCAAGAAGCTCCAACAACCCCAAGCAGGATAAACCCAAAGAGAGCTACACAGAGACATATTATAATTAGGCTCTCAAAAAGTAAAGATAAAGAGAGAATCCTGAAAGCAAACAGTCACATACAAAGGATCCCCAATAAGATTAAGTGCTGATTTCTCCACAGAAACATTGGAGGCTAGAAGGCAATGGAATGATATATTTAAGGTGCTGGAAAAAACAAAACAAAACTGTCAACCAAGAGTGCTATACCCAGAGAAATTGTCCTTCAAGAATGAAGGTGAAATTAAAAAATTCCCAGACAAACCAAAGTTGAGAGAGTTCATATCCACCAGACAGGCCCTACAAAAAATACTAATGAGAGTTCTGTAGAGAGAAGGGAAAAGACACTAGAAAGAAATTCAAAGCTGTACATAGAAGAAAGATCCCTAATAACGGGAACTGCATGGACAAGTATAAGGGCTAGTAATAAGGTATTCCTTCTTGATCATTCTAATTGTTTTGCCATTCATGTTTTTTAATAATAAATACAGTCAGAAGCACATAACGTCTGTTTGGGCAATGTACAACTGCATATACGTCCTTGGTCGCATATCATAACAGAGTTCAGAAATCCACTCCAGCCCTGGGGCAGCAGGGGGAGGGGATCCAGAGCCCATCTGCGGCTGCCTGTCCCACTGTGCTTGCCACAGGCAGGGACCATGCAGACGCCACCAGAGTTGCTGAGGGGGATGCTCTGCCGAGGCTGCTGCCCCAGACACCCTGTGCATGACGCCTGGGCCCAAGGTTGCAACTCCTCCTGTGGTGGCAGCTGCCTAACAGCCCGGGCTGTGACAATGATGGGAGGAGGAGCAGGAAAGGTGGCTGGGGGAGGAGGTGGAAGTGGAGCAGGCAGTGGAGGAGGGGCCAGTGGGGCTGAAAAAGTTTAAAGCCCATTAAGGAGGACGGTGGGCAGGCAGGCAGGAAGGGAAGGGATCAGGTGGCGCGGCAGGCCGGGAGGCAGCCAGCTGAACAGCGAGTGCAGGCGGTGGTGGGTGGGTGGACAGGCGGGAAGAGGTCAGCGGTGGCTCTGGGAGACCAGACGGCGACCACACAGGATCAGCAATGGCAGAGCCAAAGTTTTCACACAGACTCTTGGCGCACCAGTGGCAGCACAGGTCCTGGGCCCATCCAGTGATCATCCTGCATGCCTCTCTCCTGTATATAATATGGTGCTCACACACGTCCAAATCACATAACGTCCTATTTCACAGAACGTATTGAGGATGTTAAAGCAACATATAACTGTATATAAAAAGCAAGGATAAAATTATGTTACAGGGCATAGGAAACATAGAGACACAACTAGTGATAACAACAAGAAAAGGGGGGAGAGAAAGTGTATAGGTATAGAATTTCGTGTACATTACTGAAGTTAAGTTGGTACCAATTTACCCTGCTGTTGTTAGGTGCCGTCCAGTCAGTTCTGATTCATAGCGATCCCATGTACAACAGAACAAAATACTGCCCAGTCCTATGCCATCCTCATAATCATTGCTATGCTTGAGCCCATTGTTGCAGCCACTGTGTCAATCTATCTCATTGAGGGTCTTCCTCTCATTCACTGACCCTCTATTTTACCAAGCATGATGTCCTTCTCCAGGGAGTGGTCCCTCCTGATAACATGTCCAAAGTACGTGAGATGAAGTCTCACCATCCTTGCATCTAAGGAGCATTCCAGCCGTACTTCTTCCAAGACAGATGTGTTCATTCTTCTAGCAGTCCATGGTATACTCAATATTCTTCACCAAAACCATAATTCAAAGGCATCAATTCTTCTTCAGTCTTCCTTATTCATTGCCCAGCTTTTGCATGCATATGAGGCGATTGAAAATACCATGGCTTGGGGCAGGCGAAACTTAGTCCTCAAAATGACATCTTTGCTTTTTAATATTTTAAAGAGGTCTTTTGCAGCAGATTTTTCCAGTGCAACACGTCATTTGATTTCTTGACTGCTGCTTCTATGGGCGTTGAATGTGGATCCAAGTAAAATGAAATCCTTGACAACTTCAATATTTTCTCCATTTATCATGATGTTGCTTATTAGCCCAGTTGTGAGAATTTTTGTTTTCTTTCTGTTGAAGTGTAATCCATGCTGAAGGCTATATAGTCTTTGATCTTCATCAGTAAGTGCTTCAAGTGCTCTTCATTTTCAGCAAGATTGTGTCATCTGCGTATCACAGATTGTTAATGAGTCTTCCTCTAATCCTGATGCCGCATTGTTCTTCATATAGTCCAGTTTCTGGATTAT